AATGCATGATATGTCACTCCCCATTTTCATTTCTCAAAACCATACTTTCCAATTGTTAATACAGCCCGCCCTTTGGTAACCCCGCCGCGACAGGAGAGGAGGATTGGCTAGTGTCCCTGACCCTTGGTAACCCCGCGGCGTCATTATGGGGCCCAGCTAGCTCAACCACGCTAGGGCGACTCCCTAGTCCCCTTTAGTCTATATTAACCTCCGGCCCGTTAGTAACCCCGCAGCGACCGGGTTTATCAAAACCATTTCACAAAAACTCTTCTCCCAAATTTCCGTTTTCATTTCAAAAACTGATTTATCCCGTTTCATGTAACCCAATGGCATGTACATGTATATGTGTCTCAAGCTTACAATATTATGGCATGTAGAAGTTTTACATTTCATAATTACTTCACAACTAAACATATATCATATTCAACATCATCAATTGAGTCATCAACACATTAAACACAACAAAACTATCACCATAACATGCTTTTCACATAGAACAAATCATAATCAAAATCATAAATTTCTCTAGACATCAATTATACAACATTAAAACAATTAACTCTCAAATTAAGCATATTTATCACACAAAGGAGATATAACTCACAAGAAGGAAGTGGATTAAGGGCCCCTACCTCAAAAATGGACAAAACCCTTGAAATGGGTTCTCAAATTCGAACTTCAAGGGAAGGCTCAAAACTGAAATTGTTGGTATGGATGCGTAGAGCTCGTGGTGCTCTCCGTTTTGCCTCAAACGGTACTCCAAAACTCCAAAGATTGAATGAGTTATGAAGCTTCAAAGATTGCTTCAAAAGGAAAGGAAAAATGAAGGAGAAAGAGAGAGAAGAAGAAATGGACAGGGAGAGAGAAAAATGAGAAATAGAAATGGTCTCTAGACCATTTGGTGCTTAATGGTGGGTCCCACCACTTTGAATTTCTTTTATCTTTTTCTTTAATTTCAATTTACACCACATGCACATGTACAATGCACCACATACAAATACCACTTAATCCACATAATCTAAAATGCCTAAAATGCAAATGGACCCAACCATAATCCCGAACGACAACGTGAAAAGACAGAAATACCCCTTGTCTCCGCGAATTATTGGAAAATGAAAATGCTGAAAAATCAGAAACATCGCAACAGGAACCCAATGCAATCGACAGAGTCAATTACAGCAACAACAACGCGAGTCTCGAGGGAATACACGTAACTTCCTTCCTGCTGCTAATGCAATAGATTATTTCCAATCTGCACATAGGGCCTATTCACAAGACGTCATTACTCCAGCCCAATTCTCCAACCCGCTAGACTCTCCGAATGGTTTTTCGCAAACTAACAACAACAACTTCAACTCTTTCCAATCATTACATGGGCTTTCCGCAGAACAACTTCAACAACTTGCCCAAGCTGTATCTATGATGACTCCAAACCATGCTTCCGGTAATAGCAATGCTTATGCAAATGCTGTAGGTCTGTCTCTTTTTGCCTCAATTAATTCTATAGTCACTAAGCCTTGAATTTTGGATAGCGGAGCTACTGACCACATCACTTCTCCAAACACTTCAGACTCTCCCGCTCCATCCATTCCCCCAATGAGACAATCCATTCGTCCTAAACAACCTCCGGCATGGCATAGAGACTACATAATGTCATCTTAAGTCAATCATTCTACCTCAGCACCAAGTTCTTCATCAGGTACTCGATATCCTCTGTCACATTTTCTTTCCTACTCTCGTTTCTCTTCTGCCCATTGTACATTTTTAGCTAACATTACAGGTCACACCGAGCCTCAATCCTATGCTCAAGCTATCCTTGATCCACATTGGCAACAAGCCATGAATGCTGAATTAGAAGCATTAAAACAAAATAACACTTGGAGTTTGGTTCCTCTGCCTGTTGGTAAAAAGCCAATCGGCTGCAAATGGGTATATAAAATCAAATACAGATCTGATGGCACCATTGAGCGCTATAAGGCTTGTCTTGTTGCTAAGGGATATACTCAAGTTGAGGGCATTGATTATTTGGAAACTTTTTTTCCTACAGCTAAACTCACTACACTCCGTTGTCTTCTTACTGTTGCTGCTGCCAGACATTGGTTCATCCACCAATTAGACGTCCAAAATGTTTTTCTTCGTGGAAACTTGCAAGAAATAATGTACATGAAGCCTCCACCTGGTCTTCACCGACAGGGGGAGAATATTGTATGTCGGCTCAACAAGTCCCCCTATGGACTCAAACAAGCATCAAGAAACCGATTCTCCACTTTTTCAGATACCATTCAAAAAGCTGGTTATCAACAATCAAAGGCTGATTACTCTCTTTTCACCAAGGCTCAAGGTACTTCATTTACTGCAGTCCTTATCTATGTTGACGACATACTTCTCATAGGAAATGATTTTCAAGAAATGGAACGTCTCAAAAAATTTCTTCTCAAACGCTTTCCTATCAAAGATCTTGGAGATTTAAAATATTTTTTGGGCATTGAATTCTCTCGTTCCCAGAAAGGTATATTCATGTCTCAAAGAAAATACGCACTAGATATTTTGCAAGACTCGGGACTTCTAGGTGCACGCCCAAACAAGTTTCCAATGGAACAAAATTTGAAACTCACTCCCACAGATGGAGCATTACTGAATGATCCAACTAAATACAGAAGACTGGTTGGGAGACTGATTTATCTTACTGTCACAAGGCCTGACATAGTCTATCCCATTCGAACGTTGAGTCAATTCATCCATGAGCCTCGAAAACCTCATTGGGATGCTGCCATACGAATTCTCAAATACATCAAAGGTACTCCTGGTCAAGGTTTACTGTTTCCTTCCACCAACAGTCTTGCCTTGAAAGCTTTTTGTGATTCAGATTGGGGAGGATGTCGTGCCACAAGGAGGTCAGTTACAGGATATTGTGTTTTCCTTGGAAATTCATGGAAATCCAAGAAACAAGCAAATGTTTCTAGATCATCAGCAGAAGCCGAATATCGAGCTACGGCTAACACATGTTTAGAGCTAACTTGGCTGCGTTATTTATTACAGGATTTAAAAGTCCTACAGGTGGCTCCTATACCATTGTTCTGTGATAATCAGACAGCTTTGTACATTGCAGCAAATCCTGTTTTTCACGAGCGTACAAAGCACATTGAAATAGATTGTCACATAGTTCGAGAAAAACTACAAGCCGGAATGATTAGTCCTTCATATGTTCCTACGCACTTCCAGTTGGCAGATGTTTTTACAAAAGCCTTGGGGAAGGATCAATTTGTGACACTACACAACAAGTTGGGACTTCGTGATATTCACTCTCCAACTTGAGGAGGAGTATTAAGAAATATTATTTTAATATATTTACTCTATTGTAATATATTTACTTTCCTTATTAGAGTCTATCAAATCTCACTAAAAGTGGGATTACGGCTTGTAAGCCTTAGAAATAGGATTGATTAAAATGCTGTATTGTATATATATATCGTACTCTGTTATTGATAACACATACGAAAAGTTATTTACCCAAATCTCCATTGTTCATCATTTAATCCTAAAAAGTCTATGGTTTATTTTCTTGATAAATAAACTACTTGATTTAAGGGAAATAATTTACTACGTAGTATTTTGGAATAAGAGTTTGAAATGTATTTTGGACTTGAATAATAATTATTGATACATATGTAAAATTTTTACCTAATTCAACTAAAGTGAAAAATAAACTTTTAAAAAAGATGTTTGTATTATTTAAGACTCATAATTCTATGTAAATGTAGTTTTCCTTTCAATTTTCCGCATTTGAATTAGGGTTTGGGATTTAGTTATTATAAATTATATTATTTAAAACTCATAATTCAATGTAAATGTGATTTTTCCTTTAATTTTCCTCATTTGAATTAGGGTTTGGGATTTAGTTATTATAAATTAAAACAAACGAGCACATAATACTTAAAAAGGGCAGAGTTATTAGGCCAATCTTATTTAGTCAAAATTGAAAAGCATACAATAACGGATCGAAAATTTTTCAAATTTCACCAGCATGCGGGTAGAAAACTATAGTTCAATATTTTTCTAGTTAGTCCTAAATTTAAAGAAGATTAAATTTTATCAAGAAGAAAGACATTAAGTCATATATACATATAGCCACTCTTTTTATTCATAAAAGTTTTTCAAAAAAATTGTTGGGAAATAATTTATTTTTATTTATTTGAATAGCATGAAAATTACAATAAAATGACTTTACTTACCTAAATTGCTCTTATTACAGTACTATTATTTGGTAAAAGAAATTAAATTGTCCTTCATAATAATATTACCAATCATCTATTATTACTTCATCACGAAAGCTGTGGAGCAGAAAATTTTGACAAAAAAATAAAAAATAAAAATAATATTAAATAAATAAAAAGATGTGGAGCAGGAAAACATGGCACATGTGAGTAATCGCTTTAGTCATGAATCATGATGTTGCTTTGTAACCGAGAAAAAACCTAGCTGGAATGGATTGTAATTTGTAATCCTTACACACGATTTGATGTTGCCAACAATAATTTTACCTTGAGACGAAAGAACTAAGGAAAGAGGAAAGAAAGGAGGGATTGAATCTTGAACAAGAGCCATCCTCTTACCTAAATGATTTCTTGAAAGAAATAAAGAGTTAAATTATTATTTTTACTTTTTTTTATTTATTAAAAGAATATTTGCATGCCCATTTATCCTTTAATATAAATTCTCATCGTTCACTTAAAAAAGTAGAATAAATTTTTTCTAATTAGTTTATAACGTCTTTGAAGAGATAGATTAATTTGAAAAAGTGTTATTACTTTCATTTTATGTTTTACACTTTTACTTTATATATTTAAGAGCACATTAATAAAATAATAATAATTTTATTTTTTGACTTCTCTCACGTGATTCCATCAAACCAAACGAAATGAGAAATGAACGCAAACCCTTTCCCATAATTGCTTCAAAATATTTTGAACATATCTAAAACTTAAACGTTATATAACTTTTCTAGTTACTTCTTTTTCTTTTCCTTCCCTTCCTATTTTGCAGCCAACAGTCCAACTATTCCTTTCTCTTCTTCCCCTTCCTTCCGACTCAAACCAAACGCTACGTAAAAGATTAATAAGAAGAAAACAACAGAAAGGACAGAGAAGAGAAAAGGATCGCAGAGAAGCTCTTAAAATATCTCATGGAACCCTAGTTTTCTCCGTCTCTCTCCGAATCTACCCTCTAATCTGCATACTTTCTCGTTCTTCTCTGTAAATCTAGGTTTGTTCGTTTCGATCTCTCTTAAATCCTCATAGCCCTCCCACTTTCCCCCCAAAATATAGGGTTTTCCGTTGTTCTACTCATACAATGTTCTCTCAGAAGGTTTGACATCTCCAAAAAGAGCTATTGGTACCGAATTTGACGAGAGAGATATAGAGGATATGTATAGAGATCGAGGTGGTGGATCATCGAAGTCGGAGATCGTCGGTGGGCCGTTGGATCGGAAGCGAATCAACGATGCGTTAGATAAGCACCTGGAAAAGTCATCGCCGTCGACTTCGAGGGGTTTGAACAGCAACAAGAAGGAAAAAGAGAGAATATCCATCCCGTCCACCTCAACAGGTGGTGGTGTTGGCAAATTGCAGCAGCTTGATCATCGTGACAATCGGTCATCATCGACTCTCACCACCAAGAACAAATGCTCTGATGGTTAGTTTTGTTTTATTTAATTTATTTATTAATGGCTAACTGATGAATAATGTGTTCAACTTATATATATATGTGTGTGTGTGTTTGTTTTGGTGATTGATATGATCTGGTTCTGCTGTATGTGCGTGTGTATATTTATATGAATAATTGTGCATGTGTGAGCTCATAAATTTGTGATTTTTTTAGGTGTGTTTGCAAGCGGCTAGAAATATATTCTGGACTCAGATAAATAATTTGTTTGTTAGTTTGTTTTTCTTTTGTTTATTGGCCTTGTGGTACTTGATTTTTTTTTTTTTTTTGGTTTTAGGAATGTAGAAAGGAAGAAGGTAGTTAGATATGATAGTGCGATTGGGATATTAGAGTTGAAATGCCATTTTTCTAGATTATATGCATACCGAATCTCTACATGTGTGTGATGGGGTGTTAAAAGGCACTTCTAAAATTGAAGGTTAAGGTCCTATCATGGTCTATTATCTTAAAAATGATTGGGAAATGTGACGAGTCTTACTAAAGTGTGGGGGAATATGTGGATTTTTTTTGGGTAGGTAAGTCGTGTACACACCATATTGTCCCACAAGGGACTCGATCCCTCAACCTTGCATTTGTAAGGAGGGGATACCACATGGGCGAAGCCTTCGGTGGTGGATATAAGGATATTTTATTTGTACTGTATCTTGTTTGTTTGAAGTTGCTATAGACTGTTATGATTAATTTCTCCACCATCCACGTACCATGGTTTCTCTGTCATCAATTCATTGGTTCATCCGTAAGTTGACTAATATAGGCCCAGTGAATATATAAACTTCTTAACATGAAAGATTGGCTCATTTGCCTCATGTGAGTGGTTAAGCTTGGAATAGAATGTGCTTTCTTGCAGTATTAATGAGTGAACGAGGGAAATGCCAGCTACCTACAAAAAAGAGAAAGTAATATGGGGGGTTATGAAGATTTGAGTAATTTGGGATTATGAAGATTTGTGTGATAGCTTAAGAATGGAACAGTTGGAGTTGTTTCAACTAGGGGTGCAAATTGGGTTGGGTAACTCGAACCTAACCGAGCCCAGCCCTATTTTTTACGGACTTGGGCAATTATTTTTACAATTAGGGTTAGGCTTGGGTTGAAAAATCTCAACCCCGAATTTAATTAGGGTTGGGCTTGGTTTGAAGTGCTAGCAACTTGAGCCAAACCGAACCCGAATTCTAATATTATTTTCATATATATTTTTACTTTTAAATACATTATATATAATATTTAAATTATGATTACTTTTTTTCTTTTCAGTTTTTTTTTGTTAAATCTTAACTTATTGTGTGTTAACATTTAGGAGAATTAATTTTCTAAAAATTTGTTTGTAATTTATTAAAAATTTACAAAAAGTCTTTGAACTTCTTCTTATTTAAGAGTAATTTAATATAAAACTAATTCAAGATCATATTAAAATTTTGGTATAAAGATTAGCCATATGAGTAACCCAAATTAACTCGAAGTTTTAACCCGGAATCTAAGTCCGAGTTGCAAGCCGAATTTAAAAGTAGAAGGGTGGGTTGGGCTCGAGTTGAGTAGTTAATGTTGAGGATAGGGTTAGGGTTAGGGTTGGGCTTGGGTTTAACATTTCATATGGTGGGTTGGACTCAAGTTATACCTTAAATCTGCCCAACCCGCCCGAATTGCAGCCCTAGTTTTAACCATGCCATTGTGGTAATACTTATGCTAGGCATGGTAAGCTATCAAGATGAGTGTGGTCATTTTCTTGGTTGAGAATTGTACCCAAATTGTAAATAGTAATATAATTCATGCAATAAAAAAATTTAATCTTTAAATAGTTGCAATTATTTTCTTGTGCACATTATTAAGAGTGATAAGTTTCTTTTACAAAGTGCTGAAAGAAGTACTAATAGAAGTATCAGGTTGTTTGCATGGCGGGAACTGCCTTTATTATTTTTTTTGACAATAAAATTGTATTAGAAAACGTTCAAAAGGGGAACGCATCTCAAGAGATATACAAGGAACAAAACCAAAATAAAAGTCCTATGAACCCAAAAAGTCTACAATTTCATCTAAAGATATACAATTTCTCCCCGTCACCCAACTAAAAGGAGAACTAATAATAGAAAATTTCATTGGAGGATTCTTCCCCATCAAAAGATATTTTATTTCGCTCTTTCTAAATGCTGCACCAAACAAAAAGGGGGGTCACCCTCTAGCAGTCACGAGCGTGAGCCCCCACCCTCTGGCCCCTCCAAATGTCAATCAACTCCTTTGAAGACCGAGGCGTAACCCAATGAATGCCAAAAAGACCAAAAATAAGACTCCAGTAATCATAAGCCACAGGGCAATGCAAAAAAAGGTGATCCACAAGTTCTCCATCATTTTTACACATACAACACCAGTTGAATGTGATTCGTATTTCGTCTTCTCTTTCTCAAATTGTCCAGAGTCAGAATCTTGCCTCAAGTTGCAGTCAAAACAAAAAAGCCTCCCTAAGAGGGGCCTTCGAACGGCAAACCGTCTTCCACGGAAAATTTTAACCATGAAAATTGGCAAGGCAAAGGAACAAAGAAAGTACATCAAACCTCCCCTGAGGAGAGGGCATCCAAACCAAGGAATCAGACCTTCTACCGTCCACTTCCTGTCAATACATAAGATCCAACAGGGACATCATCAAGTTCCCAATCCTGAAAGGAATGCCGAAAACGCACATCCCACGTAAGTCTTCCGCTATCAAGCCGATAACAGTCCGCTACCATGGCATATCTATCCGCAGCAATCCTAAAAAGTCTTGGAAACAAACAAGACAATGGGCGATCACCACACCAAGAATCCTCCCAGAACCGAACATCCTTGCCCTCCCGAACTTTGAACCTAACATGCTTAGAGAGCTCATCCCATCCCTTTTGAATGAATTTCCACACTTCCATGCCAGCAACTGATCTAATCGGCCTGGAAGACGATCCCCCAAACAACACTAGATAACCCTCCTCCATAAACGATGTTTCTCACTACCAAATCAACATAACCACTTCCCAATGAATGCCCTATTAAAGGGGATCAGCCTCCTAATCCCAAGACCGTCCACCTGAAGATGCCTGCAAATATGCTCCCACCTGACAAGATGATACTTGAAATCCTCACCCTCACCCCAACCACCCTAGAGAAAATTCCGTTGGAGATTCTCCAGTCTTTCAGCAATAGTGCACGGGATCTGAAAGAGGGATAGGAAGTATGCTGGGAGACTAGACAAGGTGCTCTTCACAAGAGTGACCTTTCTACCCTTCAAAAGATATTGATTCTTCCATCCAGCCAATCTATTCTCGGTTCGAACCGCTGAATCACTTGATCCCAAACATTCACCCTCCTGGACGAAACACCCAAAGACAAACCCAGATAAACAATAGGAAAGGAACTCGTCATCCTAGAACCGCAGCAAGCGAAGTAACCTTCTGAACCTCCCCCACAGGGACAAGCACACTCTTACCCACATTAACTTTCAACCTGACACTGCCTGAAAACAGACCAACACACACCTTAAATATTTGAGTTGAGACACATCCGCATCACATAACCACAGAAACACGGCGGGAACTGCCCCATCAAATTCCAACTGCTCCTTGTCTATTGTATGCTTCAAATAGAGTGGTGCTCTTTTTCTTTTTCATCTGTAACAAGTAGAAATATATTCCTACTTATTGTTCGGACTTTTATTCTGAGCTTGTTTCGTCCAGTTGGCTGTAATGGATTCTCTTCAATTTACTTGATTTTTTCATTTACTTGTGGAGTGAACCTTGTGCCTTGTTTTTCTTCATTTGGAGTAACAAGTTATTTATTGTAGTTCATTAATACAAAGTTAAAATGCCTTTTATTTTAGGATATTTGAAATAGACAATGATAATGCTTTCAATCGCATTTACTTCATCAAGATTTATGATGGTTATGTTTGGTTCATATTGCAGAGGAATCTGAAACAGATAGTGAAGAGTCTGATGTTAGTGGTTCCGATGGGGATGACACGTCTTGGATTTCATGGTTTTGCAATTTGCGAGGAAATGAATTTTTCTGTGAAGTTGATGATGATTACATCCAAGATGATTTTAATCTTTGTGGGTTAAGCAGTCAAGTTCCGTATTATGATTATGCGTTGGATCTAATTCTGGATGTTGAGTCGTCACACAGTAAGCATTTTAGTTTGCTTCAGTTGATTTACTTTGAAGCTAAATGTCGATCTGGGAATCTCCTTTTGTTGATATGAATACTATGATTCTGTTTTTCATGATGAAGTTAAAGTATGTTACTTAGGGGAAGTTCTAGAAATTTCACAAAGAAATGTATTGCTTACAAGTTTGGTCACCAAGTCCCTCACATGGGTTCTTTGTGATTATTCAGATAAGTAAACGATGGTTGATTCTACATGGTTAACCAAAAAAAATAATGCCACCATTATCTATCCAGCCTTTTTAGAAAGGAAATGGATCCTCTCCAATATTTTCCCTCTCCAAGTATCTCCAAGGCTATATCTAACTCATACAAAAAACACCACATCACCATCTTGTTTGGATTAAAAATGATGGTGTGGCACATTTATGATAGTTAGATGGAGGCTTGGAGATGCCTGTAGAGAGATAATTGGAGAGGATCCAAATCCTTTTAGAAACTCGCTAATTTTTAATGTGAAGTATATGTTTAAGAATGTGAGTTAATGTCTAAGGGTAGCCACTTTGTACAAGTGTTAGGTCTGTTCCAAGTCCACTCCTTCCAGTTCCAGCACCCTTGTCTAACAACATTGGTAATGGCCTATGTATGTAAGAACTAATAACTAAACCTCTTAACATAAAAACAATAAAATCTGTGTCATCTCTTTATAATCTTTAGTCTTAAGACTCTTAATAAGTGCAAAGTGCCTAATGTTGATTTAATGCAACAATGAGAGGAAGACGTATAGTAGTCCCGTTCTCCTGTTCTCTACAGCAAATCTGTGTGATTTGGAAGGCTGAAGGTTCCCCCATAGTTGCTAAGAACCTGTTGAGAGGCACCACGTGGCTTGCCTCAAGACAATTCAAACCTAGAACACTTTGAAGCTTCAAAATCCAGAAAGCTTCTCCCTTAGTTTATGGCTGAACAAAGATGTCGTAAAGGTGTGCACGTACCTCAATGTTAGTTTATCGCCTTTTCATTAGTAACTTTCTCTAATGTCATGTTTTTTTTTTTTAATTTAATTTAATTTTATTTATATATATATATAATAATAATAATAACTATTCAATCATCTTTGCTCATAGTTATATTCCTGTTCAGTTTTTACTTTTTTTTAATGATAATATATTTTTACACATTTCAAATTTGAATTGAAAATGATGAAAAGGCTTTTACCATAAGGTTTGAGGTTTACCCAAGGCTTAGGTTTGCAAATTTCGTGTTAAAAACATAAGTCTGCAAGTTTGTTTTATTTTTAGATAGAATTTTGAATTAGTTAGAGTTAGTTGGTTACCTAATGTTCAAGGGTAGAATTGAAATTAAATGTTACAATGAAGGGCAAAAAGATAAACTTAACACTCATAAATGCACTCAACAATTAGGATTCATGCATTCATCAATTAGGGTTTCTTATTTTACTTGTTTGATTTTGAAAATTCCTTTTTGATATGCATAGAAGAGTTTTGGAATCTTGTCTAAATCAAAATCCAGATTATAATAGGATAGAGCACTTTAATTGATCGAGGGACCATTGGCTTTCGAGCAATGACAAAATAGAGTTTTCTTTTCAAATTCAATCAATAACTTTTAAATATTTTAGGATTGTATCATCTATATATGGACCTCTAGTGTTCAAAAAACCTATGCATGCTTTATCATATTCTCTATGGCAGCTTACAACTAAGTTTGCCAACCCACACAGACAGGGTGGGTTTTTTATTATTATTATTATTTTTTATTAAATTCCAAAAAGATAAGATGTCAAGGTATGAAAATGTGAAAACCTGGTCCTAAAAAAGGAAAGTTAAGGTGGGAAACTGGATGAGGATTCAGTTGTTTGACTTTATAAAATATGGGGTTTGGGTTTGTTGGGGGGGAGGGGAGATATATAGAAAAAGAGCAGGAAACACTGAAGACGAATTAGAGGAAGAACAAGAACTTTGATCCCTTATCTTTTCGGAACTTCCTAAAAAGCCCCCTCCCTGTATCTCTGTATGTCAGACTGCGTTTTGGTTATGTATTCTATATTATTATTATTATAATAAAAAATAAAATAAAAAAACGAGGAAATATTTTTTTGGTGTGTCTGACAAGTGCGAGACGTGTAGCATGTTTGTAGCCATCACGTGTCAGACATTGTTGTGGACCTTTTGGGGCAAGTTTGTCTTCTTGATGTCTTTTTAGGCCTCTGCTGTCTTGGATTTTGAGGTATGTCTTACGAGTTTTCTCATGAGTGATTGAGTTGTTATATTTTCTTCTCGCATAAGGCATCTCTTTTGGGCTTAGAGGCTGCTGCCACGAGGTGCAACTTGAATTCAATTATGAAAGACCTCTATTGGACATACGATTCCTGCCTTTTGAAACCTATTGGAATTGCCATGCCATTTTGAAGCAGATATCCTAACTCTTTTGCAAAGCTCTTGGTTCTCAGAAGATGCCTCAACTCATCAATGCCCCCTGGAAGCTTCTATGTTAATGTTGGTGTTTTGGGTCTTTGCTGATCAAAATTTCATCTCAAAATGCAAGGAATATTTTTTTAAACTGCTACTTACAAAAAAGTATATATATTTTTAAACTGCTCTAAGCAGTGAGATATTAGTTGAAATGTGCACGTTTTTGTATAATGTGCAGATAGACAACTGACAAACCGTTCCATGTTACAGAACTAAAATCACTAAAAGCAAGAATATGAATGGATTTATTCTTGTTCATGATTCTGTCGCATTTCCAAATGGTTTTGCTATGGAAAAATCTTGTTTTGATTCAGTTATCCATCTTTTTGTCTACTCATTTCTGGGTTATTTGAATTGCTGGATTGCACCTGTGTGTGTGTGTGTTTCTGTGCATTGAATTCCTTTAGCATGAACATGTGCAGGTGATATGTTCACTGAAGAACAAAATGAATTGGTTGAATCAGCGGCAGAAATGCTGTATGGTTTGATTCATGTCCGATATATATTGACTGGCAAGGGAATGGCGGCAATGGTGAGGTTATTAGTTAGATTACTTTTATGTCTTCTCTTTCTGTTCACTACCTATATCATGTTGTATTGGTTAAATATTGCTGTGGAAACTTCTGCAGTTAGAGAAGTACAAAAACTACGATTTTGGGAGATGCCCCAGAGTTTACTGTTGTGGACAACCCTGTCTTCCGGTTGGTCAATCAGATATTCCACGGTCTAGTACCGTAAAGATTTACTGTCCCAAATGCGAAGATATTTACTACCCTCGATCTAAGTATCAAGGCAGTATCCTTGCGTTTCATCAATCTTATTTTGCTTTTTGCCTTCGTATATCTTTGTGTATGCTTCAAGATTACATTGTTGTCTGTAGATAAAATTTTCAGCTTCATATGTTTCTGAGTTTCACCATTTGATGGTATATCCTCACGTGGAAATTAAAATTTTGAACTGGAACTTATACTCTTCTTGTCATGCATAACTTAAGTTATTAAGTGGTTCTGTCTGCATGGTTTTCCTGACTCGTATCACGTACATGCGATCTTAGGCTTCTATTTTTCCGAAGTTAGATTTATGAATTTTATATAATTGTGTTACTTAGTGCTGCTGCAGCTATCAACACTACTATTCTTGCATATTACATTGATGATGCTATTGTTGAGGTTCCCGTGAAGTGGTTGGATTTTGTGTTGATCCTTTTGTTGAACAGCTTTAGCTTCATGGGAAATCTTGTCTATATAATCTGCATATGTGAACTTAAAAAGTAAAAGTGGGCACTTATTAAAAAAAAAAAAAAAAAAGTGAAGTTAAAAGTGGGATATATAATAACTGTGTTGACGATGAGATTGTGGCTTTGTTCATAGTTTTGGCTGATGCATGGGGATTCACCATTTGGTAGGTCCATTTCCTTTACTGCTTCAATATATGTAATTTACTGCTCTATAATGACTGTTCTCCTTGACATTGACAAGATATTGATGGAGCTTATTTCGGAACCACATTTCCTCACCTGTTCCTGATGACTTATGGTCACCTCAAACAACAGAAAGCAACGCAGAGCTATGTTCCAAGAGTATTTGGCTTCAAGCTCCACAAGCCATGACACAAAAGTTCCTTGCTGCAACATGTGGACTCACTCTCAACTGCTTAGAAATGGTGGTTCTTTGTTGCTTCTGTTGATGTAGAAGTGGTAATAACAAGTGAGGTAAAGTGCAGCAGTTCAGAAAATACGAATTTGATTAATTGATGAAAAATCAATTGTAGCTCATCCATGAATCTAACTTATCCTTATAATTTATCCATGAATTTAATGAGCCCTTGTAAGCTTATTTCTTTTTCCCTGAGTTCAGAAAAAATTGAAGTATGTTTTTGCAGTTATTGGTCTCTCTTCATTTCCTTTTCGTAATCAAGTACTCACTTGCTTTCATTGTTATTGGAGGTAGCCTTTAGATTCCGGGCAGGGTTGCCTCCCCTGTCCTGTCCATAGAGCTTTGAGTCTCTATATGTAATCTTGTGAAGCCATTAATTTTTGAAAACAGTAAATATTACTGCTGGTGAATAGAAATATCATGATAAGAAAAACATATGTGCCTCTCTTATTTTTGCCTATATAGCTTTATATCATGTAATTGTACAGATATTTTACCTTCAGCCAAGCTCTTATCCTGGCACATCTGGTGGATGTTCCTCGAATGACACCGTCATTGATACATCCACCATGCACGAAACACCATCCTTTTGGTTCTGTTAGCACGTATGGAAGCAATTCACCGTAGATTGAAGAAGTAACTTACTCTTTTTTCACCGGTCTTTTGGTTCTGTTGGACGTATGCAAGCAATTCAGGTTATTCTGATTTGCAATATAGAATTGTGTTTAAACTCTGCATTTTTAACACGTTAAAATCGATTGTTTAATGATGGACAGATTTGATTATATCATGTCCGCGGTGCTGAATGTTCAATACCTAATTTTTTGTTTCGAAACTTGCCTGCCATATAGAGAATGAAAAGTTAAGGATGAGACAGGAATGAAGTGGAATGTATAAAGGCTGAATTTTTAAGTACGTTTTAAAAGTTAATTGTATATTCGAAATTTTAATTTTTTATTTATTTATTTTTTTTTCGAAATTATTTCAGTTTCAAGTATTTTTGTGTTAAGTATATATATATATTCTCTAAGTAATATGAATTTCTGCATGAACCCAGTATGGCTCAAGTTTATGAACTAATAATCTTCACACTGTAATTTCCCAAAGGATGTGATAAACGCACTCCATATGCTTCAACACTTCAATTGATTTTTGTAAGAGTGAAGTCACATGATTTCTTTGTGACTTTTTATTTTTTATTCATTTGTTGAATTTAAAATGTTCAGAAGTCTCCTCCTTTACGAATAATAATTTCATTTCATATTTAATAGAATTATCTTTTAAGCAATATTTAAATTGAATTATTAATGACATACTTAATTGGATGATGAGTTCTAATTAATTCACAGAATCGGATTGAGTCATCATTAAATACCTAAAGTCAAACCAACTTCCATCATCCTTTGTCTGGTTTTGCAATATGCTAAAATCTATATATCTTGTATCATGCATATGTAGTAGTGAGAGAGACAGACCAATCCATACTCTCAAATCAACCAAATTTTCATGGACGTCAAATCAACCAAATTTTCATGGACGGTCTAAATTAATTACTTCAAAGTAAATCAAATTCTACATGGATCATCAGTTGATAATCACTTTGGCTGTCATAACCCACTATGACAAGTGGATTCAATATTCTTGTAACAAATTACTCCATCCCTTTCATATCCTTCCTTTTTTTTTTTATTTCCCTCCCTTTCCCCTTCTCCTTTCCATCTTCTTTCTTTGTTTTCAATGAATCAGTTGAGTTTTTGAATTTTGAAAGGTAGGTTAGCTACATAAGGCAACAGTGACTTTGGCTCTTTTCAGTTGCAATCTTTATCATTAGTGGCATTTCTAAAGTGATTCTACTGAAAATTATTGATCTTGATCTTTTACCTGCTTTTCTTCTATTTGCCTTGTAAATTTCCTAATCTTTTGGGATTATTAACACGTTCAACCTCTGATTAGAAGCTTTGTATACGTATATTTTTATAAAAAGTGAATTCGTATTTTCCTTATTTATATCATAATAAAATGCTTAGTATTTTGATTTCTTTTAAATATTTTCTTCACAAGATTAAGGATTATTATTATCTTCTTCTTCTTCTTCTTAATTATCCGATGATTAGAAGCTAAACACTTTTCTTTTCCTTTATAACTTTAAGATGATTGTTTGGAAAAAATAGTAGGACCACCCTTTGAAAGTGGAATTGTTTTTGGGCATCTTTTAGGTTATTCTAGTGCAAAGTCCACAAAATCGTGATTTAATTTTCGAATATATTAATATCTTTATTGGTGGGTTATGATTAATTAATGCCAGACCTGTTTAAAATTAACAAAACAAAATTAGTAGTAGCTAATAAAAGTGTAATTTGTTAATTAGGTAGGGTTTTCTGAACCATCTGATCAAGTTGCATAAGAGTACTTGAGATAAAAAGTAACGAACAAGATTTTGCTTGAAATTAAAAGTAATATTAGTGAGAAAATAAAAGAAAGCAAAATTAGATGATTTTGGCATATACTCTCTCAAAACTAAGAAATTTCCGAAATTATAAATTCAAACACATTCTAGATCTTTATGTCTATATCTCATTCTAGATCTTTATGTCTATATCTTTTGTCACTAAATTTTTTTTTTTTACAATGTCGCTAGAATAGTTTTATAGAAATTGGTACAGTAGAGTTTTGTAAATTTTATAAATATCTACAATATTTGAAGGTCTTAATAGACTGTAGATATTAACCATTGTTGTATTGAATCCTAACCATTAATGAGTTGAGTGTGCCTATATAAAGGGTAAGTGTCTTATTTGGAGCTATGAAGTTATAAGAATGAAGATCTTCATGTCTGACACCTCTGTTATAGTAAAGCGTGACAAAATTAAAATGTGTTTAAAATGTGTTTTCAGTCCATTGCAAAATTTATGAGGGTGAATAATAGATAGCGGTCATTGAATTTCTCTTACACAAGTTTATTGGGCATGTGAACATATTGGATAGGATTTAGAATAAGATTCAATTTGGATATTATGTTAATGGCTCTCAATAGGTTGCGCCACTGAAATTATAAATTTAATAAAAATTAGTTATTATTTAGAGGTTGTGCCGGTGTTGAGTTCCTTTTTAGTTTACTCGGAAGAAAAAATATATATATATAAAATTCACTAACACCAACTACTTACTTGCTGGATCCTAAAAAATCATTAAGTTTATCGAGATAATAAATAGATATGAGACTTTTTATGATTACTATTTTGTTTGAATATTATTCAAAATTGTTATTCTTTTGAATTCGATTCATCTTACTAGGTTTTTTTTTTTTTTTTTTTTTTTTCTTTTTCACCAAGTATTATCTAAAGTTACGAACATGCCACGTGTGGTGCAACTTCACCAGCAGCATTTGTGCAACTAGTTACACAATTAACAAGAGTAAGTAATGAGAGAAAAATCAGTTGGCATGAAAGATAAGACTGAGAAATAAATATGTCAACTAAAGGTAACACCGGATGAATTAATTAGTTACAAACAACTTTAATAAATTAAATATAATATAAAAATTAGAAATAAATTCTAGACAATGGATGTTACAAAAAGTGGTGAAATTTGAGTGAAGTTGATTAGGTTGAGGCAACCAAATTTTACTAAAATGTGAAAAAAAAAAAAATTAAATTAAATTAAATTTTAAAAGTTTTTTGTATATATATATTTTTTGGATGGGGGAAGAAAATTTTTTATATAACAATTATTAGGTCATATAAAATTTTATATAGGTCTATTATTACGAATTGGGAAACATCTATTATCTTGTATGGGATAAAGTACTGAGTTTTAAAATAGTAGAGACAAAAATGTTAAAATGAATGAAAAAAAATGAGAAAGAAATTAGGTCTGATAAGTAGTAGACTTACATGATATGGACAAGATGAAAGATTAATTTGCATAGAAGTTAGGAGACACAATTACAGAGAGGCATAATTTAAAAGTAAATGATAATAATTTGAATATGATAGATATAAATGATAATAATTTAAAAGTAAGGAATTCTGGTTACTTTTACGAACATGCCCCTCACTTCTGAAACCTGCGCCACGTGTCCATCAGGATATTGACACGTGGGAATACCTTATTAGTTAGCTTGATCTGTTTTTGCATGACTACCCTTTTGAACTAATCGTTTGTATTTGCAAAAACTAAAAGCAAAAGTTAAACTATTACTAATTTGTAAGCATGTGGTTCCGGACAAGTTAAGTTTGAAGCATATGAAGAGAACAACCGAGCGATTGAATCAAAGAAGTTAGCGTCAATTCAGTAAAATGCCCTTAGATTATATTAAAATTACAAGAATGTCTGTCTTTGACTAATGATATATGTATGCTCTAATTAGTCTAATTCTTGCTTTCATGTAAAATATAAAAATTAAAAGAATAGAATAGAAGAAGAAGAAATAAATATAGAAATATTATATATTCAATCTGTTACATTTACCTTAGATAGTCCATTAAAAGCCAAAAAAGTCAAAACTCTTGATTTTTTTAAAAAGACGATTTTTGCACTTCACTTTTCTTCCATTGCACTTCATTTACTATTTTTTTCTTAAAGGAAATGACAAAAAGGTGAATTTAATGCATAATCCTTTAATTTATAATGTCAAAACTACCTTTTATATAACTCTTTTTTTTTTTCTTTTTTCTTTTTTACTATTTTTTTTTTCCTTTCTATTTGTTTTTTCCTCTCAAATAAAATAATTTATTCCATACTAATAATTTTATTTTTGGCACTCGAAAGAGATATATATATATATATATATATATATATATTTTTGGGGTTCTGTCAAAATAAATAATTTATTCGATAAAAATAACTTCTTTTTTTTTTGTCTTATGAAAAGAGATTATTTTTTCAATAGAGATAAAAAAATTTTAATCCTCTTCTTTTCATACTTTTTTTTTTGGATGTGGACAAAATAGATAAATTTTTCAATAAATATATATTTTTGGACGGGATTTTTCATGTCAAGACAGATAATTTCGGATTAGTACTCATTATTTGTATGGATTAGTTATTTCTTTAACCTATAAACTGTGAAACAAATCAGTCTTAATGGCTCCACTGTTTTGAACCATTAATTTATAGAATCAAACTGAATTGCTAATTCATAATTGAGTGTTCATCATATTGGCCGTTTAAATGTGCACTATGTATTACAATTCAATGATATTCAAAAACAATAAATTTCCTTGACATAATAATAACTCGTAATAAATGCAAAAGAATTTTCTTTTTAGATGATGATCAATAATATTAGAGAAGCTATTTGCACTCTACTTTTCAACGTTTGCACTACAATCTGAAATGAAATAGCAATTATAACCCTAACTTTACAAGTAAATAATTATTACTTTTTAAATAATAAAACTGTCCTCTTAAATTTATTCTTCTTATCTCTAATCTTTATTATTTTAGGTCTTTTTTGACAAGACAAAAAATAAATTGAATATTTTTTTTTTTTACAGGACCAAGAAATAAAAATTTATGTTGAATAAATTGACTCTTTTGACCGGACCAAAAAAATAAAAAAGTAACCATTAAAAAAATTATCTCTTTTGACATGATAAAAAAAACCCCAAAAAAAAAAAATATATTGAAGAAATTATATTTTTTGTCAACATCCCCAAAAGAAAAAAAAAAAGTATGAAAAGAATAGGATTATATATATATATTTTTTTATCTAAATTGAATATATTATCTCTTTTTATAAGACCCAAAAAAAAAAAAAAAAAAAAGTTATTTGACAGGACCCATAAAAAATTATCCAAAAAAAAAAAAAAGGTTACCTCTTTTGACTGAAAAAAAGTTAACTTTGTTGAATAATATCCTTTCAATTGTAATAAAAAAAAATAAAAAAAATCATTATGGAATAAATTATTTCTTTTGACGGTCAAAAATTAAATTATTAATATGGAATAAATTACTTTCTTTCAAATGACCTCCGGAAAAAACAAATAGAAAGGAAAAAAAAAAATTGTAAATAAAGTAAAGAAGGTAAAAAAATATTAAAATTGTTTAAGGATAGTTATGACATTATAAATTTAGGAATAATGTATTAATGAATTCAATGACCTTCTTGTCATTTGCTTTAAAAGAAAAAAGTAAATATAGTGCAATTGGAAAAAAATAGAGTACCAATATTGTCTCCCAATTAATTCCATTTTACATGAGTCATATGTCCAATCCTGATAGTGTGCTTCTAGCTTCTAGAAGAATCTCTATGCCATTAGGGTAGAGTTCACACTATTTTTCTAAGGTGGAATTGGAATTAGAATTCTCTCCTATTTGTAAAAGTGCTAAATGTTACAATTTGATATAATATGTTGGGTGAGTGTTCTATTTTCAAAATAAATATATTGTATGAGCATTGCATCCTCAATTTTAAGTGAATTGAAGAGGATCCAAATCTCTCAAACAAAATTATTTTTGAATTTAGAGAGGTCAAACTCAAATTAAAATAACAAAGTTAAAGATTAGGAGATCTACATGTTATTTTTAAGTTTTTATAATTCTCTGTCACTATTTTTAACATTTATGAGATAAATATTTTGTCAAACATTCAACATAAGGTGATATAATTAACTTTTCTATACTCGACTACATGAATAAAGTCCTATATTAAACACATATACTTTTCTATAGGCGACTATACGAATAAAGTCCCATATTAAACACGTATACTTATATCTTTACGCTTGTAAGTTGTAATGAAATCATCAAAATGTTATAATGGAAGCACTCTAACAGGAGTCACAGCCTCAACTATTGCATTTTGGGTGAGTATGCCTAGCTCCAACAATTTAATGGAGAATCATACATTTTCATGATATATTTAGCAAGAAATTGAAGAGAGAGAGAGAGAGAGAGAGAGGATAAGATACATGGATAATATGAATTTGTTGGCACTTTTAAAGGAAACGTTTACCAAAAAAACAAGCTAAAATAACTATTAGCATTGAATTAACCAAAATTAGCAAAATAGGAAAATGAAGGAAAAACCACTTACATGGATGGCATTTTTTGTAATTCAGCTGAAAATATGAGGGTAACTATTAAGTCTCCATTTCCCATCCTCTTACTTAAGTTGTGGGCTGCGGCCGGTCGCCTCTGGTTTCAAAATTGATCCCTCCGCAAAAAACCATTGTAGAGAGAGAAACATTTGCATATAGAGAGAGAAACGACATATCCCAACCATTACTGGAGAGAGGAAGAATTTCAGCGATAGAGAGAGAAACTACAAATCCACAACTATTCTAGAGGGAGAAGATACATATAGAAGGAGAGAGAAGAAAATTATAGAGAGAGAAAGTGTATATAGAGAGAGATTGTCTTCGTATGGAGTAATGCATCAGAAGAAATCTGAAGTTCAGATCGGAAAAGAAAGCAGCGGCGTCTCTTCCGATTTCAACCCAATACCGCCCCTTCTCTTCCCTTCCTCAATCCACCAAAAACATCCCCAACAATCCCACAATTTCCAATCAAATCCTCTCTCTCTACACCCTTCATCATCAGACCCAAACCCTCAAATTCTCATCAACCTAACACAGACCCAAAATGACCCAATTGCTCCCAACTCATCGTCGACGTCTACACCGAAAAGTACTCCTCACAAGAGACCTCTCATGACCCAAACCAACCCAAACCCATCTTCATCTTCTGCCAATTCTCTCATCAAATCACCCACTTTGTCTAGTCTTCATCAAGACCCATTTTCTTCAAACCCTCCATTGAAGATTCACTACCCATATCGGTTTCCAAACCCTTCGAAGACAAAAGCCGCCGCCCTTCAACTCCTCCGCCATATCCGTCGCCTCCGCGTCCACCTTCGTCTCATTCTGCTCTTGTCTCTCCCATTTTTCTACTTCTTGGTTTCGCATCCAAGTCACTCATTTGTTCTAGATTTTCTCTCAGCTTTCGCCTTCTCTGCAGCTCTGTTGTTCTCTCTCAATCTTGCACTACCACGCCTTCCCTCGATTCGCCTATTCCTTGCCCGTTCGTTCCCGGTCAAGCTCTCATCGGGTAACCGGGTTCCGAGACCACATTTGCCAGTTTTCTGGTCAATTGGGTCGAAGCCAAAGTCTGATAAACGGGTGAATTCCGGGTGTTGGGTTCAGGCTTATAGCAATGGGGACGTTTATGAGGGCGAATTTCATAGGGGAAAGTGTTCAGGTAGTGGGGTTTATTATTACTACATGAGTGGGAGGTATGAGGGTGACTGGGTTGATGGCAAGTATGACGGATATGGAGTGGAGACTTGGGCGAGAGGAAGCCGGTACCGGGGACAATACAGGCTAGGCCTTAGGCATGGGTTTGGGGTTTATAGGTTTTATACAGGTGATGTTTATGCTGGGGAATGGTCAAATGGTCAGAGTCATGGGTGTGGTGTTCATACCTGTGAGGATGGTAGCCGGTATGTCGGGGAATTCAAGTGGGGCGTCAAGCATGGGCTTGGTCACTACCATTTCAGGTAATTTTGGAGATGGTTTCCATGGATTTTGTTTCCATTTTTAAGAACTTATTTTTTGTTAATATTGTGCTGGTTTTGAGTGTTTTAATTTATTTGTACACTACTAAATTATTTTTTGTTAGATTATAGTGATTGTGAATGCTTTCATGTATGCAGTTAGATTTTAGGCTCTACACAACTCATGGAATTAGTGCTCTTAGGTGTTCATTTTTTTTTTACTCATCTGTTGTTGAATTTGCAGGGTTTCCTTTGATAGATTAAGTTCTATCATTGGGTTCATCATACATTATTTTGAACATGTTCGAATTTTAAAGTTTTGGATTTCTTTGCTGGTGATTTTGGAGTGTGTGATGGATGCTTGGAGTTTGAAGATTAGATTACACAGGTGTTTGACCCTTCTAGTTGGCAAGGCACTAGTTTAAAGCAAATGTGAATGTAGTAAGTGATGCATCACTATTGCTACCTTACTCAATATTATGTGTCATGATGATACAGATGCAGAACTTGATATCAGAATTAAAAAATTTCCTACAAATATGTGCATGCTGAACGTAATGAAAGATGAAGAGAATTTTAAATCAAGCACAAAATTAGGAAGGAAGACAAAATTACCGGTATTTAGCTTATGTATAACAGGTACCACAAAACAGGAATCCTAGGTTAAGTCTAGAAGCCGTTAGTCAAGATATGTCCATAGACAGTTAATGGTAGTGGAACAGATTAATTATGTGCAATGACGACAAAATTGGGTTGTGCGCGTGCATGTGCGTGTATGTGTGTGTGGCATGCGCGTGTGTATGTGTGTGTGAGAGAGAGAGGAGTCTAAATAAGTACGGTGCAGTTGTAGTAATACAACTTTAATATTTGGCTTCATATAGAAGATAATATATAGAATCAATTATTATATCAAACCAATTGTTGGGAAAAAAACTTGGCAAAGAGAGAGGTTGGGCTTGCAATTCCAATGGTAGGGGAACACATACGTCCAGCCTCACATGGCCGAGGCAGCCATTCATTTAGACTTGAAGATCGATTTAGCCATCTTCGCACGTGGCTATGGACAAATTCAACAATAACTGGTTCAAGATTGGCCAGCATATGAAAATTTGGGGTTGACGTATGCAGTATGTTTGTAGCAACAAGTTGTCTCTATGTTCACACACCCACACCCACACTCACACCCACACACATATGAAGCTTTTAAGCTTTAAACTGCTTATGCTGCTTCTATTTGATTTTTCTTTTTATTCTAATGTTAGATATTAGTATTACTTTGCAATTAGGGCTTGAATTAAATTTGCAGCGTCTAAACAAAGTCTACCTATCTTGTGAGGAGAAGCTTAATAAAACCTCCCTTCTTTTATAAATCATATCTATATTGTATGGCAGCTTTCTTGTCAACCATAGTTAATATGACAGTTGTATAGAATCTTTGTGTAACATTCGTGTCCATCTTTTCTAAATCTCCATTTTTATGTTTGTTTGTTGTTCTCCCGGGATTTTTCCTCTTCATTCTTGCTTCACTATTGAATGTCTTATCAAGTTAATCAATTACAAGGAAATTTGTGCCTAATTGTCCCTTTTCAAAGGCTGGATTTATTATCATTATGGCACCAAAATAATAGACAAAGAAACCAAGATCAAAAGAGAGTTTAGAGTAGTGTAGATTGAGACATTCGGCATGTTGCATAAAATGTTACTATGATTTGGACACGAATTTAATTGTAGTGAAACATTATTGATAGTGAAACATTATTGGAACAATGTTAAATATCACTAAGGAAACAATTAAATGATATAATTTCATATAAAAAAATTTAATTGAGAACTTTTACATGGCATAGATTTGGACAATCTTGCCAACCTTTTACTATGAAATAGATGAATGTTTCTTAGGGAATTATTTTATTCTCATCCACAATCTCAAGTTTATGGAATTTTCTTTCTTTTCTTTTCTTTATTTTTTTTTACCCCTATTTCCTTATAATCCACTTCTACAAATAAAGGATGGAAAGGGGAATTTAATACATTTCTTTTGTCATAAAATCTCTGGTTGCAGACAAATTTTAAAGTAGGTTTACTATATACTAGTAATTGTTAGGATCTCAATCAGGCATATGGAATGGAAGAACTGGGACATGTTTCTTTTTGTTTTTTAAGTATCACCGGTAGAAGATACTTATCAAAAAAAAAAGTATTACCGGTAGAAGATGAATGGTTGTTGAGGAAATTAAAGCTGCAAACCTTAAGACATGTTCACCTGTTACTACTTCAACAGAAAACGAGTCCGTAATTCATGTCAAACTTGTATGATGGCCTTTCGGAAAAAAAACTTGTATGATTGATATTCTTATTAATGTTTGAGTTCCTTTTAATATTTAGATAGAGACCATATAGCATTTGTGAACGTTCCTTTTTCTTTTTCTTATTCGCCATCTTATCCAATTTATAGATCAGATTTGATTGCGGACATCTTAATGAATTATTTTATTTGTACTTGGACATGGCCAGTCAATAATGCTTTTAACTTAGTTTAATCTAGATGAATGTGCTGCAAATGTTCTTGGGAACTGGATTATCTTCCAAGTAATTTGGTCTTTTTTACTGAAGAAGTCTACCTGGCTCAGCGTATTTGTGACAAGATCCTTCTTTGACATTAGACATTGAGTCTTATGGTTGTTTTGCAATCACAACTATGAATAATAACATGCCACAAAGATACATTTTTAAAGGCCAAATGTACAATTATTATTATTATTATTTATGTATATCTGGGCATTAAGTCATCTGTATATAATATCCAGAAACGGGGACACGTATGCTGGAGAATATTTTGCAGACAAGATGCATGGGTTTGGAGTGTATCGATTTGCAAATGGGCATCAGTATGAAGGAGCCTGGCATGAGGGTAGAAGGCAAGGACTTGGAATGTACACTTTCAGAAATGGAGAAACCCAATCTGGGCACTGGCAAAATGGGATTCTCGACGTCCCAAGTACACAGAACATCACCAATCCTGTATCTCCTGTTGCTGTTTATCATTCCAAAGTGTTGAATGCAGTACAGGTACATTTGATAACCCTGTCTTGATTCTTTTAACATTATCTCTAGAATTATTATTACTAAAAGATTATCTGCTTTTGAGAAATATGTGATGCATAATTTTTTATTGTTATTGGAATAACTGACTCTGCGTGACCCCAAGATTCTGTTTCTTAAGCTCTGTGGAACAACTCATTAAAAAAATTCTCAAGCAAAATTTTCAATGGTTTTGGTCAATCTCATTACCTTGATGTTCATTTTAAGTTCATTCACTACAAAATGACTATTTTATTTACTGGCATAATTGTCCTTTTCAAATGGACACTTTTTAAGTTTTAGTGTTTTATGGTTAGAAATGCAATCCTGTGGATGTCTTTTAAATAAATAAAAAATAAAAAGTTGCTTTTTACCCGTTGGAAAACAAAATTCTGTAACTGTTTTTATTTTATTTTTTCTTTCTAATTTTCTTCAGTTTTATGACTACTAAAATAGGCTGGTTGAGTTTTTGAGCAAGGGCGTGACATGCAGGACCATCTTTAGAGGTTTGTTAGATCACATGCCATATCAGCATGAAGAGAAAGGATTATGTCCATTGTTTATGTGCCACCTTGTAGAAAAATCATGTTTGATTTTAGGCTTTTCGCCAAACTTAACCATTCTTTCTAAAATTATTCTCTTAGGTTTCATTCAATCTGTATCATCTGACTAGATTTGATCTAATGTTCTAAACTAGATTCTTGAATTGTTTAATTGAAGTGATCTGTCTGGTAGGTGACATAGGGATCGATTATTCTGAACCAGCACAATATTTGTGCCTTTCCAAGAGAGTGAGCTCCTCAGTTGCCATAATAGCTAACTAGTTGACATTCTCAGTACCTTTTTTCCGGTCATTTATGGCTAACCAGTCTCAATTTAAAATTAACCTTTACGGGTCAGAGATTAAATATTTTAGGGACACGAAAATTGCATTAAACCAAACAGAAGTTTTGCAGATTGGTTCAGTTCAGTTTCTTTGTGCGTCATTTTGTTGTCAGATTGGAACTGGCCTATGTTGGTTTGGTGGTAGGGATTGCCAAAATTGACCAACCCAAATGTGTGCAATTATTTTGGAACCTCATAGTTTGTGCAGTTGAAATGGCATGTCTTTTGGCAAAAAAGCTGTCATAGGTGAATCATTTTGCATTCCTTGTTCTGATTATCATGGTAAATAACTATAGTCAAACACCATTTGTGAAAGAGACTTGGAGATTAGGGAAACAAATAATTGGGAAAGGAAAATTGATCAATTAAAAAAACAATATGGGAGATTCTTAATTTCTTAACGGTATCTTTACTATCAGGAAGCAAGACGAGCAGCAAAGAAAGCCTACGATGTGCCCAAGGTGGATGAAAGAGTGAACAGGGCAGTTGCAGCAGCTAATAGAGCAGCCAATGCAGCTAGAGTAGCAGCAGTAAAAGCTGTTCAAAAACAAATGCATCACAGCGGCAACGATAATGACATTCCAATGCCTGTTGGATAATACTGTTTCTAGACTAACTACCGGAGCAACCATTGGGCTTCTACAACAGAAAACAGCTGCAAGAGGATGAAGCTTTTCTGATTTCAGATCAAACAGCACTTCATCTCCTTTAGAATCATTATCTTTTCAATTCTACTTTTCTCCGAGAAGATGTAATATGAGGTGCCCTCCTTTTGGAACCTGTTTTCTGAATAGATGAGCAGCTTGGTGGTTCTTTCCTTCTCTATTTGAGAGAGATTGAGAGAGAGAGAGAGAGAGAGAGAGAGGTTCTTTTTAATGTTACTTTTTCCTTTTTTGGCCTGTTTTTGTAAAGTTAGCTAGTTGTAATATAAGTGCTGGTGTCTAGGGAATGCATCAACCAGCTGGTGTTGTACGTATAATAATGACGTGGAAAATGAACTGTTGTTGTAACATCACTTAATTAAGGAACTAATTTTACAAGCCTTCTGTAACATCACTTACTGAAGGAACTAATTTTACAAACCTCTCGGTGTAATTCATTACACTGATGCCAACGGATTCTTTACTTTATGAGAATGGGATAATACTTACATATTCTGTAGTTATCTTTTAGTGGCCTTTATCTGCATTAAACTAATTTTACAAACCTCTCGGTGTAATTCATTACACTGATGCCAACGGATTCTTTACTTTATGAGAATGGGATAATACTTGCATATTCTGTAGTTATCTTTTAGTGGCCTTTATCTGCATACGCAATGCAGTTATACCACTAGGGGGAATAAAATGTCATCTTGCAAGGCACACAGTCTTCTGTTAATGCAAGCAAGCCTTTGGGTTAGCTGCTCATATCGGCTAGAAGTTATGAAGTCATCACTAAGAGCCTTGGACCAGGGAGAGGTCTTTGCCCTAAAGGTTCCAATTTTCTGATTGAAATATTAACCATTGAGGATAAAACTTGCATATCATGTGTCTAGTGGCCAAACACATTTGTCTTTCCTCTCCTACTAAACCATAGTAATATGGAGCTAGTTCTGGGTGTGCTCCCATGCGCATCAATTCATTGCTTCTAAATGCGCATGCAAAGACGGTCATGATTGCATAAACTTGACAAGAATCAAGAAGTCAAAAGTCATGGACTGACTTCTATCCTCCGCACCATAAATAGCTGCAACAATTACTAAGAGGATTTGTAAAGAGTACCATCTACAGAAATGGGATAAACCACATATATATTAGCTTCCAGCCTACAACGGCACTCTATTCAAATTAAGGGATAGGATTTTTGTAGGATTCCAGCCTACAACGGCACTCTATTCAAATTAAGGGATAGGATTTTTGTAGGATTTTTGCTCTATCCTAGTCAATCACAGCCTGTTGTATGAGCAAATATTTTCCAATCATTGCTGACTAAGCAAATACTTTCCCTTCAAAACATCTAACTATTTGCTACACCTAAGAGGAAAAGTCTCCTCAATTAAGTCGTATACATTTTAGCTGCAAAAATAGACCAAAATTTCACATTCAATCTCTAACTCATGACATTACAGAAATCTGCGAGTGCTCGTACAATATCACATAACCATTGACATGAACCCTCATCCCATCAAACTTCACCCTGCCCTGTACAATATCACATAACCATTGACATGAACCCTCGTCCCATCAAACTTCACCCTGCCCGGCAGGTAGAATAAATTCAAACTAACTGGCCCCATATTTTTATCTAAAACAGTGCTCACATCAAATCTGGAGCAACATGGTAAGATTCTTTGTCCAAAAAATAAAAAATAAAAAAAGGCCGAATGAGCAATGAGGCATGCAGTTCCAATTACAGAACATTATAGACAATGTAAAATAGCCAACTACAGGTACATGATAGAAAAACACTGCTTAAAAAGATACTAATCAGGAGCATCTGAATGTATCATATGCCCACACCAATGACACCATAGACCAACAAGATAAGGACATCAAATGGTTTATAAATGAGTTGTCACCATTAACAGCTAAAATTTGATTCAATATTGAAAGTTCTGCAACTGAGTATCTAACCAAATAACAAAATTGAACATAGAAATCCCATTCATTCTAAAGAAGTTTGCACCAAGGATGCCTCATTCCACATTTCTATGCAGATTTAACTCTCGGTCTGCTCCCTCAGCCTTCGGATTGTGCTCCTAACCGTCACAGCACTTGCAGTGCTGTTTTGATGAAACAAACATCATTAGGAACACATCACAATTACATACATATGCAATATAGTTTATATATATTGCACAGAAATTTATATATGGCATGATTATAGAATAATTACTTTAATGTGTAAGCACCGCCTGCTTTGACTTTGCCACAATCTTTGCATCCCCAAATTCCAACAGCCTTCCTTTTCACTGCATACTGCAACAGCACACCTTGAATTAGGGCCACCATATGCATTTGAATAATAACAGGCCCCGAGGCCAACAAGATAAGCAAACAAAAGAGGGATGGGGGGATTCACCTTCCCACAGAACTCGCAGAAGTACTTGCTATGCTGACTAACTTCCATCTTCTTAATCTGCTTCCGCAGACTAGCCCCATAACGTGTACCTGAAATGTCATTGGATAAGTACATCCACATTTCTCACCATTCATGCAAAAGTGCAACTACATATATTAATATATGCAGACACCACACATAGAAAGTGACTACAAGTTCCTTACAATTTCCACCGAAGAAGAAAAAATGAAGGGAAAATAATGATCCTGCTATCACTGCAGGGAGGGAAGTCATGCATGTCACTCATGAGTTTCCCTTTGCTTTTCTTCCCTTCCTGATTCAGCACTGCACCATCAAACCCAGCTTTCTAGATTGTCAGCTTTTCACATTGCATCCCAATTTATATGATTATTCTCCATGAAACAACAAATGGAGCTCAATGTACAAAACAAAAGCTAGAACCAAGGGCTCAATTGCTGATATCCCTTTTTTTAAAAGAGACATTGCCCCCCAAAAACCAAACCGACAGCAAAATTCTGACAGCTTACAAACTTTATTTGCCCATAGAGAGGAGAGAGGAAGGAGGGTAAACTTCCCCACACCCATTGAGTCAGTTTTTCTCCAGAAAGGTAGACTTTATGTCTGTGATTGGAATATGCATTTATAGTCAAAGCCAAGTGGAAGGACTATGCATCTATGAAAGACAACCAAGGATATAAGACACACCTCATAATATACCTCTCCCACAATCTCCTATGTATTTAACCACTAGTGAGTGGTGATATGCTGACATCATGAAAGGAAAATGGCAACTTAAATGTGCATTCTTTGATCCAACTGTGGTGGCAAGACCCCTGCAACAATTTACTGCAGCACTTCCTCCAAGTGACAAACTCCATAAAACCCTGAGTGATGAATGTTTACCATCATCCTTTTTCCCACTTTCTACTTAGGTATGGACTTGTTAGCCTATAATGTGTAGGAAAAATGAATCCACACTCCAATATGTGTTGTGGCTCAATTATTGTGGTTCTTGGCCACCGAGTAGCAGGTTTCTTTAAACCCTTCAATGTAACATGGCATGATGTACCATGAAAAATGCTTGCTTACAGTGAGGAACCCTATACCTACAATGAGAAGCCAAAATCCCCCCCCCCCCCCCCCCCCCCCCAGCACCCAACCCTTATTCCCCCTCTCCCTAATTACATTTAGTTCATGAAATTACACATTTTAAAAGCAAAATGAGAATAACAAAAGAAAACAAAAAAAAAAACATGCTAGGCACGTACCATACTTCCCAACAATACCCGCCTTCTTGGTTCTCTTAGTCTGCATACAAAAAAGGAATCATGGTGTGAAACTAATGCAATAAACCCAAGTAACCAAAAGAAAGTACAATGAACTTTAGAGCACAAAAAAATGAAATATATATATATATATATGCGAAGAAATTGTGGGTGATCGATATCAAACACAATAATTGATTAGGATATCAAGAACACCATACTTCCTGGTGTAACAAGGAAGACAGATAAATGACTGTTCTCCCAAATTAATAACAAAATATTTTTCCAATATATGAGAGCAATGGAAAGTTATTAAGCAACTACACATGAATGGGCCAATTCTAACATTATATAAAAAATTTAAATAAGATAATTTAAGCTTGCTAGAGGCTCCTGAAACTGCCTATCTACAGCATTTTCCTTTGCCCCTTAACCTGCACACCGGCTGCCTTCTAAAGACAATAGGTTAATATCAGCATGTTATCATTCAATCAATTAGATAGTAGATACTAAACGTCACATCCAATTCAAGGATAACATGGCAAAAGCACTTGTGCCCCAGGACAACAACATCCCTCTCCAAGTCACAATTATTGTGGCTGCGTTCTTTGGCTGGCCAGAGTTTGATACATTGCCTACAAACCTGCCAACCATCTAATGGATCTGTTTTTTACGAGAAAAATAGTTGAATAATGAGATACCATTAGGGATTTTTTTCATGCAATCGATGCTTCGTTATCTTGAATTCCCTTCGATACTCTAAACTGCTAAATGACATATAGATCAGATCAGTATGTGTGTGCAACTATGTATTTGGCTGTCAATTCTACAAATAAAGTTAGGTTATATCATCCAAAATTGAACAACAAATAAAATGACAGACTAATAAAAAGCAATGGATTCGACAGTCTCACCACCATATCCATGATAAGATTTAAATTAATCACATTTTATAAAATAAATAAATAAATAAGTTAAAGTGAGAGATATCCTATGACTACAAATCCTATGATTATTACTTGTAACTTAGAATCGTCCAATCAGACAAACGAAAATTTCAGCTTTAAACAATTAACACTGAAATAATCTTCAATGCACACAAAAAAAATAATAATAATAGTAATAATAATAAATTCCAGCTTCATGCTTCTCCATATCAACAAGAGATTAATTCCCAACTTAGTACCATTCACAAAAGGTATATTCAGATATGCGTGTATGTGTATATATAAAGATCTATAGAGATATTTAGAGAGAGTACCATTTTTACGGAGCTCGGAGGACTCAACTGAGAGAAGCACCAAAAACCCTACACTTCGCTCGCGAGCGGCCAAATGAACGTTAGTCTCCTTTTATAGTCTGCAAAATTCTTCGGATGCCGCTAACTTGGACATCTTTGTGATGCCCTAGAGCCCACATTCGGCCATTTGGGCCTGGTTTACCAGTTCTGTAAACAAGACTGGCCAGGCCTTGTCCATTTGATCAAGCAGAGGGCGCAATGATTTATTTTTTTTTGGTAAAATAACAAGAAGTTTTTTTTTTTTTTCTTTTCCCTTCCTTAAATCCTGTTTTTGCATCTCCAAAAACACATCAGAACTCAAAAATAAGTTAATTAACTTAATTTCGGTATGTAGTGGTGTCGCTCAAAAATATTTTAGCAGGAGATTGAAACGAATTTAATTTTTGGCAATATGTAAACAAAATGATACTTGATATAAGACTTTGTTCCTCTTTTATTATTATTATTATTATTATTTTCTAAACTCACGCACCCACGGGTCTTGATGGGTGGATCGACAAGAAAACGACACGATTATTATTTATGTCAAGAAATTCTGACAACTATACGACACAATTATAATACAGGTAATGCGACACGATACTTATAACCCGTTTAATAAACGGGTCAAGACTTGACACAACATGACAAGACACATTTAAGTCATTTCTTACACAAACACGACATGTTTATTTAACACTTTTAGTCATTTTATTTTTAACACAAACACAATACCTTTGGTTAAGTAGGTTGTTGAGGAGGCCCTGGATGACATGGGCCAGGTCCGACTCGCAAAACACAACCTTCAGTCCGAACAGCTGGGTCAGCCCATAGAAAGACACTGCCATATGGGCCGGGCGGGAGTAAGCCCATCAAGGGTGACCAGGGCTTACAGAGGAATAGGCCCAGGTCCAGCAATTAGTAAATATCTTGTAAATATCTTGTAAATATCTTGTAAGTATCTATAAATAGGAGTTGGAATGAAGGGGAGGGGGAGCTTTTTCGGGTTGAGGTGTAAGAATTCTAGAGAGAGAAAGAATAGAAGGAGTTTCTTGCATCTTCAATTGGCGCCATCTGTGGGAAACGCATGAAAGTTTGGTTGATCAATGAGGAGTATCGAATGGATTCAAACCAATTCGGTTGATCGAGACTCGATCTTGCGGATTTGAATCCAGATCTGAGCGACTGTGACCTACTCTGGAGGAATTACGATTCTTGAAGCTTTGGCAGGAGTGACTTCAGATCTACGCAACCACGAGTTGCTCGATTGTGGCAGGATCTGACGGATTTAGAGTTCAGACAATTCAGATCTTGTAAACAGTGAGCATAATTCGGAGAATTAGAAGCCAGATCTAAAAATTCCTACTCACGAAGCTCAGATCTACTCGCGAACTTGAGATTAATGCCTTTACTCCGTTCGGGAATAATGATAGGTGAAAGCTCCAATCCGATGGAGGCTGTCCAGCAAACAAAGCTTGAAGAGTTGATGAACTTGATTGAAGCTCTCAGAAAAGAAAATGCAGAATTGAAAGCTGGACTGCACCATCGGCAGATACCCGCAGTTTCGCATCCGCTTCCGGTCGGAGAAGGAGGTGTTCCATCTAGTATCGCGCATCAAGGCGATCAGAACGAGAACAATCAGTCAGCTCACCACCGTGATGAAAGGATGATGGACAATTTGCCGCCAAATGTTCGTCGAGTTGAAGATCACGAAGGCTCGACTCACGTTGATCCGCAGCGGGAAAGGTTTGACCGAGAGGAAGTGATGGAGGTAGATCGCCGTCGAGTAGCGTCGCCTTGGCAGAGAGAGTTCATAGAGGAACGGTCGTTCGATCCGTCTTACCGGCCCTCCATGGTTACTGTCACTCATCACGGTTCGGAGGGCAGAACCGTAACTCACAGAGCTACCGCTGGACTCCAGAGAGAGAATGAAGCTCTCCGATCCGCAGCTTGGACGGTGGATTCACCATTCACCGACGAGATCTTGAATGCGCCGCATCCAAGGAAGTTTGCTATGCCAGTCTTTATTCTGTTTGACGGAACAACCGATCCGATCGATCATGTGTATCATATCCAGTTGAAAATGGCCCTGAATACGGAAAACGACTCTTTAATGTGCAAATGCTTCCCTACAAGCCTGGCCGGACCGGCGCTCAGCTGGTTCAAAAACTTGCCTAGGAGCTCCATTGGCAGTTTCAGGGACCTGTGCGATCGGTTCATAAGCCAGTACTATGGGAACAAACGCCCGCCGAAGGACATCTCGAGCCTGTTCACGATGCGGCAACACAAGGATGAACGGCTCCAGGCCTTTCTTACCAGGTTTAATCTCACTAAGAGTATGGTAATCGAATGCCATCCTTCTACGGCAGTTCAAGCCTTCAAGTTAGCCATGACACGCGGAACTCCGTTTCACACCAGTCTGGTAGTGAATACGCCAGCTACCATGGATGAACTCAATGAGAGAGCCGATGGCTTTGTGCGCCTCGAAGAAGAGGAGGCAGCTAATGCTCGGACAACTTCGCTTGTGTCGACCGAGGAAAAGTCCAAGGCAAAGATCAGGCAGAAGCAGGCTCAGCCGCAACGTCAGACCACTTGGAAGGCCGAAAAAAGGTCCAGGGAGGAAGAGTTGATTACTCCGCTGAAGGTCACTCTGGCGAGGTTGTATCAGGAGAACAAGGACAAGTTTCATCCACCACTGCCAATTAGACAACCCCTCGAACAGAGGGATCAAACTAAACATTGTGCTTTTCATTCTGATTTCGGACATCAGACTAACGAATGCAGGAACCTGAGGAGGCAAGTGGAGATGTTGATAGCTAGAGGGGAGTTTGCGAGTTATGTTCAAGGCTCGGCGATGGAGCAGAATCGACCAGTGGAACAAATAAAAATGAGTCATAAACAAAGCTCCCACAATTCGCAACCAGTTCGTATAATCAATACTATCCATGGTCGACCCGAGCCTAGTGAAGAGTCAGATGAGCTGCTACGGGTGCGCCTGCGGCAGGCGCAGATGAAGAAAAGGGTCGGCAATGTGACCACTCTACACCAACAGAGCCCGTCAATGCAGATGAAGTTCGACTGGACAGACCTGCAGCGTGTTCAACTGCCTCATGACGACCCGTTGGTAGTCAGTTTGACAGTGGCAGATTGCTTGGTGCGCAGAGTTCTGATCGATCCTGGGAGCAGTGCGAATGTTATGCCGAGGGACACATTTGACAGGCTCGACATTAAACCAGAGAGGCTCAAGCCCACCGGAAATCCCTTATTAGGGTTCGATGGGAAGAGGGTGGAACCCGTCGGGATGGTGGAAGTAGAAGTTCAAGCTGCAGAGCGAGCTCTTATGGAAACTTTTGTGGTTGTGGAAATTCACCCCTCGTATAATCTCCTGATGGGAAGAGGATGGATTCACAGAGTCCGAGGTGTACCCTCAACTCTGCATCAGGTCATGAGGTGCCTCGGGCCCGATGGAGATAAAGTGATAGACATTCGGGGGGATCAGGTCGCAGCCAAAGAGTGTTATTCCGTCACACTAAAGCATGCAGGGAAAGGAAAGGCGCCCGTCCGGTCGACAAGCCCCAGATAGCAATTACAGGAACCTCCACTCGAGCAGAATAGGGTGGAGGAGTCAGCCGACTTGACCGAGGAGCCCCTTCTGGATGTGCAGATCGATCAGTCCAGGCCAGAACGAACTACCAGAGTGGGTATAAGACTGACCAGAGAAGAGCAGCAAGAGCTAGTGGATTTCTTGTCCCACAATGTCGACGTATTTGCATGGAGTCACCTCGACATGCCTGGAATTAGTCCTTCCGTCTCCTGTCATTCCCTGAATGTCAATCCTAATTTCAAACCAGTGAAACAGAAGCAGCGAAGATTTGCTCCAGAACGTAATCAGATCATAACGGAAGAAGTTGATAGGCTGCTTGATGCGGGATTTATCAGAGAGGTGCACTACCCTGAGTGGTTGTCCAACGTCGTTGTGGTGCAGAAGAAAAATTGGAAATGGCGCGTATGCATTGATTTCACCAATTTAAACAAAGCCTGTCCGAAGGACAGCTTCCCGTTGCCTAAGATTGATCAAATGGTGGATGCCACCACGGGGTATGAGCGTTTAACCTTTCTGGACGCATATTCAGGTTATAATCAGATTCCTATGGACCCCGCAGATGAAGAAAAAACTTCTTTTGTCACCGAGCGAGGAACATACTGCTACAAAGTTATGCCTTTTGGATTAAAGAATGCGGGAGCAACTTATCAACGACTTGTCAGCAAAGTTTTTAAGAATCAAATGGGTAAGACTGTCGAAGCCTATATTGATGATATGGTGGTAAAGAGTAGGAAAAAGGATGATCATCTGAAGCATCTGCAAGAGGTATTTGATGTACTAAAGCGATATGGGATGAGGCTCAATCCGACCAAGTGCTCGTTCGGTGTGAGTTCCGGGCAGTTTCTGGGACACGTGGTCAACCGTAGGGGCATCGAAGTTAGCCCCGCTCAAGCAGAGGCTTTGATTAAGAATGCCGAGCCAAAGACGATCAGAGAGGTGCAAGCCCTAACAGGACGAATAGCTGCATTAAGTCGATTTATTTCAAAGTTGTCAGACCACTGCAAACCATTCTTTGACACGATTCGGAGCCATGGAAGGCAGGTCTGGGGGGATGAGCAACGACAGGCATTGACTTATTTGAAGCAATATATGCAGAATCCACCAGTCCTGTCAGCCCCAGAACCGGAAGAAAAGTTATTTCTATATCTTGGAGTATCTGGTGTCGCGACGAGTGCCGTTCTGATTCGTTGCAAGGAAGGGGTGCAATACCCGGTATTTTATGTAAGTAAAACACTGATAGAGGCAGAAAGAAGATACTCAAAGGCCGAACGGGTGGTACTTGCACTTGTAAATGCAAAGAGAAAGTTAAGGCATTATTTTGAATCCCACCCCATAGTTGTTCTAACAACTTTCCCAATCAGAACGCTCATGCACAAGCCAGAGCTCTCGGGCAGAATGACAAAGTGGGCCATAGAGTTGAGTTCATTTGACATAACGTACGAGCCGAGAACAGCTATTAAA